GTTTGGATTCCTCAGAAGACAGCACATCTTACTTGTCTTCGTCGTCTTCTAGCCCCGAATTAGCACACACAGATAGGGTACCTTCAATCTCCCCAAGATTGTACCAACCGTTTAATCATTTCAATCGAAATGGCATGTTTTATTTTAGTGATAACATACATAATTCCCAGTTTGGTTGTGATTATTATTATCCTGCCTATGTTAACTCTTTTCCCAGTCTGTATCCTACATTATTCTCTCCTTACATCGCCTACCCCCACCAAATTATTCACAATGACAATATCGATAACAAAATTGAACCCCTACCAAAGAAATTTACAGATTTTTCTATTAAAGCTATCACTGGTTTACCTTAAATAATGTCACTTATTACGCTTAAATATTTGATAATAAATATACCAGAAATACTGTTACCAAACTATTTTTATATTGTAAATGTTGATAAGACTGTATATTTTTATTATTTATTATATAATTGACAATATTTAGAATACGTTTTTAGTTAATAAGAGTGTACATTTTGTAATATTTTTTATAATGAAATATAAAGATTTTCTATAAAACAGTGAGAAGATTTTTCTTACAGCAAGGCAATTTTGCATTCTTGCTACAAGCTCATAAATTTTACAATTTGGTTTAGTAACAATTAAAATTAATTATAATTATAGATACTTTATAACATGTGCAGCTGAAAACATAATTGACTTTAATTATACTTTGACCGTTAAAATAATATGTCAAGCAAAATGTCTCCATGTAAGCATTAAAACCGTTGAAAGTTTATTTTTTGAAACGGTAATTGTTATAGTAGGTGTAATAAACGTGTAGGCCTAGCATAATAAAGCAATTTTACCTGTCAATTGGCTGTATGATACTGAATATTCAATGTCCACAAAAACGGAAAGTGGTGGTTTTATTTACAATTCTTCTTCTTCTTAATTGTCAATTTCTTGAAAGTGCAGTGATTCTAGTAAGTGATTCCTATTGTTCGTTTAGGGTTGATTTAGGAAAGTATTAGTGTAAAGATTGCCCCCTTACTGCAAACAAATCACCATTTTAACATAAATGTTAAAATAATCAGTTATTGATTTTGGTAAGTATTAACCTCAAATATTTTCTGAAAAGGCAACTTGCACTTTAATAGAGCTTCTAAATGTATGTATTCTGTATGGATGACACATTTACCCGTGTTTATAAATAATAAGCCGAGTAGACGAGGATTTGATTGTTTATGTAGGATGTAACAGTGCGTACAAGCCATTGGGTTAGGCAGGTCAGGGCAGGAAACTGATGTTTTGTTTAGCGCTTGTCGTGCCATCGAATACTGTTTGTATTTGGTATTTTGCACTAACCGTTAAGAACTGCTGGGTGTTTTAATCTGATACTTACGATTTTTTTTAATAATTCTAGGCACAATTTTTATCCACTTAATAATTATCGCAAATACTGAAATTTTCTGTCGTATAAACGAGCGTTTTCTTGACTTTTAAGAAGTTTAAATTGTGAGTTATGAAAACTCAAGAACTTACCCTTCCTAACAATGCATAAATTGACCTTTTTTCCAACGCATAAATTGACCTTTCAGGTACTTGAAAGAAGTAAAAAAATCGAAAAAAAAATTAGTTTGTCTCTATATTTCAACCATCATCGAGTCATACACGGAGAAAACTTAATTTTTATGACAGCAAAAATTACAATTTTCCATTGTAAATTTACCGTAGAAGTAGTAGAATTTATTGGATAACTNAAAGCAATTTTACCTGTCAATTGGCTGTATGATACTGAATATTCAATGTCCACAAAAACGGAAAGTGGTGGTTTTATTTACAATTCTTCTTCTTCTTAATTGTCAATTTCTTGAAAGTGCAGTGATTCTTGTAAGTGATTTCTATTGTTCGTTTAGGGTTGATTTAGGAAAGTATTAGTGTAAAGATTGCCCCCTTACTGCAAACAAATCACCATTTTAACATAAATGTTAAAATAATCAGTTATTGATTTTGGTAAGTATTAACCTCAAATATTTTCTGAATTTATTTTATAAAACGAATCTTTTATACCTATTGCTATCGGAAATATTAGTCCCTTAAAAGTAGAAAACTGTCTTGTTGACTTCACAAATGAAATTAAATGTATTCGTTTGTTATTGTTTATTTATTTGGACAACAAAGTTTCTTATCAGTCGTTTATTTGATTTATAGGTAATCTTTCAATTAGGATTACAATTAATGTAAAAATGATTCGAATAAATCTGTTCTTTGTTCACATCTATGTATCTACAAACCTAAGTATTATAACTTAACATTTACAAATACCTAGGTATACAGATAGTTATAATTAGGATGATCGTAATTATGTAACAGTAACAGTTATTTGCAAGTGAATTCATTATGTAGGCTTGTACATAAAGATATCCAGAGTTATGCTATAATTATCTTTTATAGAAAATGCACATATCTACATATTTTACAAAGATAACAAGTAAATAGGTATATAGTACAAGGAAAGGAAAAGTATAATTGGTCAATTACAATTACTTATTGCAAATTGTAAGAAGGCATTTTAACTTTACCTTGGTATGGTATTATTTTTGAAAGATACTGCTTTGTTGTTTTTTAGACGACTTGGCTAGGTATCAATTGGGTAGGTACAAAAACCTGCCTCATACCTAGATTGTTCTGTCCCAGTCAACCTTGCAATGTAAACTATTAAATCCTTTAATCAAGTGTTAAATTCTGGTTCTGGTTGATTTCAATTATCTTAAACCGTTATTGTAAAATTTTTATCTACTTGTTTGTATCAATGCCATTCATATCAACTTCGCTAATCTTTAGTCATGTTATCGTATTAGCGTCTATTACCTTACATTCCTGTGTTTGAACAGTCATGACTATCCATGAAATATAATCTGCATAATTAAAAAAATTATCGCAGATATGTGAAAATATGTTAAAGCTTCAAGTTTTTGATTGATTCACTACAGTTGAAGCTGTGTATCTCATAAATTCATTATAAGCTTTCATGTCTCACAAACCCTTTAAAGTTCATTTTGAAAAACATGAAAAATATCAAAAAGTGCCAAGTGAACCACATCACTATACGTGGAAAGAAATAAAGGGAAAGTTTTCTCTGGGCGATTCATCACAATCCCATCAACAAAGAAAATCTGACAATGAGGTAATATTGAGTGAGAGTGTTTTTTGCTTCAGCTTATCATTAGCATGTATTTACATTGGTTATACTTCTCTGTCACATTACAAATTTTCTGTTTACGTGAAATTCTGAAAGGTATTACCTGCTTAGTGCCAGTAGGCACTTTATTTGAATAGTGATACCAATAAGTATTTTATTATAGAATAAATCAACATAAAATTAAGTACAGTATTTTCAAACAAAATTTCTTGTTTTCTGTCTTGCCTTAAAATCCTAGTTTTACAGGTAAAGATATACCTAATTTAGGTTTTTGGTTTATGCTTGTAAAATTTTGAGCTAAATACATACAAATACGGGTGTATACATATATAAATATATTCCCGAATTCTTTAATAAAATTAAAAATATGTCTAATATCTAGCACGTGTATGAAAAAATCTCATTTTGATACAATTCAAACGAAAGTTTTTGAAATTTGAAAATATAATGAAGAGTCAGTCATACAATATACGTGTCCTGTATGTCATAAATCAATTATTATTTCAATTTGTCGTAATATCAAGTGATTCTATTATTCTCTAAAAAGTTACTCAGAAATTACTATTTCATGTATTTACCAAGTGTTTTTTATTTTGCTTATTTCATGAAATTATAATTTACCATGCAAAATGTAGATTTCGTTGTAAAAATGAGTAACAAAAGTCGTATCTATCTTTGAACACAGGAGTTTTATTGGTTGCCTATCTGTTTTCGACAGCAAATATTGTGTAGTAAAAAAATAATTTTAAAGTACGAAAATGCTATTGTCTTTGTGCTTCAGAAAGGAACTAAAACTTTAAAGGGTTTTTATTGTTTCTGATATTCAATTTTTCCCAAAATATGACAAAACCGTGGAGTGCTACCATTTACAGAGGTGAATTTTTGGGATCTAACAATAGGTAAAAAGATCCACTTTCACATTTTTGAGTTTTGTTCGAAAACTACGCATTTTTCCTGTATACACGTCAATAAGAAAGTTGTAGAATATTGTATTTCTAATCCAAATGGCACCTTCAGAAGACAAAATTTTACGATACGGCCAATAGAACCAAAAAATGCCATTTTTTTTTTAAATTTTAGCATGTAACTTTTTTTGAATGCAAGTAAATGCAGTGACATCGCTGCATAAAAAGAAAGTTGGCATTTTACACGTTACCGGAAGAAATTTGAAAAAAATAGAAATATTAGTAAACGAAATTAAAAAATGCAGACTTTGGTAGNAGTGACATCGCTGCATAAAAAGAAAGTTGGCATTTTACACGTTACCGGAAGAAATTTGAAAAAAATAGAAATATTAGTAAACGAAATTAAAAAATGCAGACTTTGGTAGTCTTTGTCTCGGTCAGGGGCCGTCCATAAAATACGTCACTCAGAATTTTACCTTTTTATCCCCTTCGTTCACGCTAAGTCACATCTACCCCCTAACAAATATGACGTCACAAAAGCTAGCCTACTGGCTCTATAAACGATTTCTTATTAAAAAGTTGCGGATGAAAATTTAAAAGAAAATAGTATTTAATAATTATTTGGGTTAAATTTGTTTACGCACTTTTGTTTGGAAGATTCTTCTCAATACAACGGTATAGGTTGTCAGGCGGTAACCCGATCTGGTATTGTTTAAATCACGATTATTTAAACAAATGCTAAAAAACAACTTTTTTGGCTATAACATTTTTTTTATATTCTTTGGTTTAATCTCGATAGAAAAGATCTAAAGTTTGTTTTGTAAAGTTAATATTTTCCGAGTTATGAATTTTTCAAAGTCTGAATTTTTATGCTTCAAAGAAATATGTAAATGTAATTTTACCAGAGAAAAAATAAAAAACTAACACCAACAATAATAATTTAATAAGTATAACTAAAAACCTACCTAATTAAGATTATATAAACAATATAGACTGATTTCAACGATTTCAATTCAACCCTCAAGTATTAAAATTTCATTGGTTTTTAAAAAGGATTTTATGACGTTGGTGAGGGTAGTATTTAATGGAAACCCCGCCAAAACGAAGACATAAAGCGTTAACCATAATTATTAATTACTATCCGGTGCATCTCATATTATTATTATACATATTTATAATATAAAAATATCTCGAGATTAGGACACGCTACATTAAAAGCGAATATTTCCTGTTTGTAGAATTATTTACCAACAAATTTACGTAAAGTTATTAAATATATTTATTATTTATATGTTTGTGTAGTATTCATACATGTGTATATTCTTATCAGTTATCAATTACAATGTCGTCGTCGGATTATACGAACGAATATATTTTTATGTTATCTTGTGACTTGTAAACAGTATTTACCCGATAGGTTATAGGTTCGTGTGTTGGAAATTTTATTTGTGGAAAACGGTCGTTTTAGTTTTAAATTTTTTGTGGTTTTCATCAGATGTGCATTTAAGTAATGGACGAACCGATCGAACTGATTTTATTTTGTTTGTAAATTAATTATTCATTCGTTCACGAACAATTATGATATGTCAGAAAAAAGCAGCATCAGTGGTTTGTCAAGTAAAGGCAGTTCGGCCAGAGGAATAGTGTCCAGCTCCGAACATTTACCTTTGATCTTAACAACCCCTAAAAGTTACGGCTCCCTATTTCCATACTATCAGTTCATGAAAAATGTTATTGGAAGTACACAGGTATTTTTTAGACTAATTTTAATTATTAAATTAGTAATCGGCAAGCATAAAAAGCAACTGTAATAATACCTGAAATTTGTACGTTACGTTTACATATATTTTGTTCCATTTGTGCACACTGAAATATCTTTAATTTCTAGTAATAATTAATAGTAATTACCAGTAAGTCATTTAACAAATCAACAATGAGTCATAATAACAACAAAACAACTTTTTTATTGGTTCATCAATAACAAATTACTACGGGTACTTTCCTTATTGTAGTAAAAGAAAACACAAATTATTTGTCAGAATTTTCTCCGAGATTTGATATTTTGTACTAAATGAGAATGAAAATTGTTTATGCCTGAATTTTGTGTGCATCAAATAAATACAAAATTTTTAAGAACATCCACAAAATTGGCAGAGGTTTGGGTATTACGAAATAAACTGTTTAATTTATAGTTCAAAATTCCTAAAAGAAACCCTTAATAATATTAGTGCACAACAAATTTAATAACTAATTAATTTTAAATAAGTGCGATTACATATATATAAATGCTTACACTTGATCAGTGCAGTTGATTCACTATGCGTTTACTATAAACGTTTGGATCACGTTAATTAAAAAATAAAATGGATTGATTCATTAATATCTCATAAATTTTTAAATAATAACTCAAAACTAGGGCGCTTTGGGCCAGTGCCCGAGCTGCTGAGCTATGATCTGTAAGAAAAGCGTGTCGATGTTCAACTTATTGTTCTTTTTTTGTCTATAAAAGATACGCATAAAGCACAAAAATGCCTATGAAAAAATAATGTTGAAACGTTAATTTTTCAAATTATCGCAAATATCGTTAAGTTTAACGTGAAAATTTATTTTTTGAAGTGGTAAAAGATGAGTCGCCTCATCATCATCATAAGGTCGTCAGTCCTAAGACTAGTTGGACACGCACCACCACTCCTTATCCTGAGTTAATCTTCGCATTTCCCTAAAACTAGAACATCCCACGTCCTTAACTATTTGCGAACAGTAATCTAATCTAGGCCTACTTCTACCTCTCCTAATTCCTGTTTCTGCCACAAATATGTCTCTGACTAGACCTTCATGCCTAAGAAGGTGTCCTACCAACCTATATCGCCTATTTCTTATTGACTTCCATAGAGTCCTCTGTTCTCCTATTCTTTCCAATACCTCTTCATTTCTAACCTTTTCTACCCACGACATCCTCATCATCCGCCTATAACACCACAACAACTCTTGTTTCTGCCTCTAATATGTCTCTGACTAAACCTTTATACCTGAGAAGGTGTTCTAACAACTTATCTCGCCTTTTTCTTATTGACTTCTATAAAGTCCGCTCTTCTCTTATTGTTTCTAATACCTCCTCTTTCTAACCTTCTCCATCCACATCATTCGCCTGTAACACCACATTTCGAACGCTTCTAACCTTTTCTTGCCTGTGTTTATGTTTCGCACCCGTACAGCGCCGCGCATTTGGAGCACCTTAAACAATCCTTTTCGAATTTCTAATGTGTCTCCTAAGTGTTATTAAATGATCTCTTATAAAAATAAGATCATTTAAATAACAATTTTATTATCTTACAGACTTTAAGTGTTTATAAACATTATTGGCTCATTTCAACGGTTTTAACTCGATGCTCTCGCGAAATCCGTAAACCAAAAATTAATTTTTCATTGGTTTAGTGTTTAAATATTTTTTTTGGGTTGTTCGTGAAGGTGGTATTTAATGGAAAGCCCGCCAATACGAAGACATGGACCGTTAACCATAGTGGTTTTGTCGGGTACCCTCGTATCTGGTACCCGGAAAAATCACTATCCGATCACAATCGGTTAGAAGCCTTTCTACTGTTAACAATGAAAAGATTTTAACTATTAACTATTAAGTAGTATAAAGTTTAGTAAATGAAATTTCGATCGAGCTAGGATTAAAATAGAAAAAATTAAAGTCGCTATCAAAGCCGAAGACGTATTAGATAAATACATACAATTACATAATATACTGTAAGTAAGTTCTCGGCTTTCATAGTAAATACGATGGTTTAGGAAAATATGAGAGATATATGTATCTAAACAAACAACAATATTGTTTACTTTTGTTGATTTGTTTAAATACGAGAAAATTCCATTATGTAACGTTAAGTCTTACATCCCAAACCCTGGATCTATAGATTTAAAATTGTGCACAAACGTTTCTGATACTGAAAATTTAATGTTCGATCACGGCACAGCCCAAACCGTAGAAACAGGAAGCTTTAATTTTTACACAAGAGTTCTTTATACAACGGTATCATTCACTATAGAACGAGTTATCGAAATGCCACCCCTAAA